ATCTACATTATCACTTTTGATTTTTCATAGCAATTGTGAAAGGTAGGCTATGTAATTTTACAGGAAATCCTATCTCTAACAAATTACTATTTGAATGTATATGCCAATTTTTATTATGAAGGGGAAAGAAGAATGCCATACACCTTTACGCATGTTTTATTGAGGTTTTATGCATCCCAATTCATTAGTAAAAAATCATTAACCTTAGCTATTATTCAAACTGACTAGATTATTTTTTGACAAAATTATTAGGACAAGTACCCATTTCTGATTTTCTAGAAACTAGTTTCTGAATAACGTTGGGCCAAACCCATCCTATAAAAATATGATTTTACTAAACAAACTACCTCTAACATTCACATTTTTTCACTTAACAGCTACAAATGTCTAAAATTTTAAGGAAGGATTCCAATTTAGAACAATCTTGGGTCAAAGTGATGCTTACAATGGGTTCAGATATATGAAAATCAACCAAATGAGCCATTTAATTTGTGGTTCGGATGTCATTTTTCTGACAGTTATCAGTGGAACTGTCATGCATCTCTAGAATGTGGGGCTATAAGGATTATTTATTTTGATATAATTCTTTCATATGATTGCATCTGACATTTTGACAGAATGTATTTATGTGTGCATGCATGTGAGTATTGATTATCAATATTTTCCCATTACATTACTTGAATATAAATTAGTTCTGATCCTCATCATGACCTGATTTACATAATCACATTATTATCATAGCAATATTTAAAAATACTTAATTATATGTAGATATTTTTTTCTTGATCTCTTTCCTGCTTGACCAAGAATACCAAGGATGTCCCCAGTGCTCACTTGAAGGATGATTTAGTCACACTAGCAAAACCCCAGGCTCAAATGTCAAATGGGATTAAACATGCTGTAATTTTCTTGCCACAGAAGTTACAGTTGTATTACTCATGAAGGCAAACTGTAAATGTTTAGTGATTATACATGTTTTTCATCAACTCCCCAGATGGGATTTTTTTTTTTTWACCTTTGTTTGAGAACAACAACCRAATACTGAAATGCACCAGCTGATACCAGCAATCCAAGGCTTCATTAGTGCACACAAAGTAATGCTCACTTTGATACGCAAATAATTACAGAGATTAAATGAAAATAAACAGTGAGAGGATGTGCAGACGCTCTGAAGTTAGGTTATTATTTTAATTACTCTAGTGACTTGCACCAACCTTCATTATCAGCCACAGATCAAATTTAAATTGTTTTATGTTTTCCATAAACTATATGGAAAAGTACTATAGCTACGCAATGATTATGCTTATAAAATTGACACTTTATTCAAGTTCCCAATTTAAAAAAGTTATTTCCACTTCATCACCTAATAAACTCACTACATGTTTTTGAAGCATAATAAAATTTCCACTTAGAAGTGTTTTACCCTGGTTTTATGCTTCAAATGAGCATCCTTAGTAATACTTTTTGTATCTTTATATCTTTACTCAGATTTAATAATAAAGGATTTGGGGCCACAGTTTGAATCACTGAATGTAAAACAATATAGAATATTGAATCATTTGAAATAAATGTCACTTAGAATTATGTCATCTTTATTGTATACCCTGTATTTGGAGAAGTTGATTTCTTCTTCTCCTATACTGACTTGGGAAGACTAAGGACCCACTACAGGTGGAGATACTATATAAAGGAATTTCCAGTCTTATTTAGAATTGTTTTGTTTTTGTTTTTTATTTTACTTCTGGTGAGTGAGCCCAGCTGTGCTCTACCATTGAGCTATACCCCCACCCTTTATTATTTTGAGACAGGATCATGCCAAGTTTCCAAGGCTGGCCTCAAACTTGAAATCCTCCTGCCTCAGCCTTCCAAGTAATTGGCATTACAGACCTATACCACTGCATCAGGCTGTTTCACTTTATAGTCATGTGTTAATTTATGATTCTTGGAGAGCCCCAGGGTTAAGACATTGAGGAACTGTTACCTGTATTTCTTGACTGCCTCTGTGTCATGCCAGCTCTTCTGAGAAATATTTCACCTAACATCCCAATTATCCTTACACAGTTTCCCATGGAGTATACATTATTACACCCATTTTCCAGATGAGGAAATGAAAGCTTTGGGAGGTTCATTACTTTCCAGAGTTACATAAGTAGAAAGAGCCCAGCTGGGAATCAAATCCAGGCCTGCCTGATTCCATATACCTTGATGTCTCCCAGCAGAAGACTGAATGAAGCAAACCTGGATGCAAATGCTGACTGAGGAAATAGGATAAAAGGAGCCACAGTCCCTGATGCACTGGTTAAGTGTTGTATTGCATGACATCAGTGAATATTATGCACTAGCTAAAATCTCAAATTTGAGTGGTTTTCAAAGTGTTTTACCTCTGAATAGCTTTGGATCTTGGAGAACACACAATTAGGAAACCGATTTCATGGTATAGTGGGACTGAGATCCTTACTAACAAAGGTTAGTGGTGTGTTTTAATACAACTCAGTAATCACTTGAACTTCACTCCAGCTAATACAGGCATTTCTCTTCAGCCAAGTTTAAAAACTCCATCAGAATGGAAAATTCAGGAGCCTTTGGGGGAAAGAGAGTAGGACTGACCTGTGCCCTTCCTTCTAGCTTTTAAGGAAAGCTGGTACTGGCTTCCCCCTTCCTCCCACCGTAGGCTCACCAAGGCCAGACCAGGACACCGTCTTCCCAGAGTTTGCCTTATATTCAGAGATGCCTTAGGCTATTCCAGAATTTGGGTAGGGATCAAACAGAGTCTTTGTTTCCAATGTTTAGGATGTACTAATCTGCAGAATTTAAACTTAGTTGTGGGTAAGTTGGGAAGTTGGGACAGAAGACTAACCTTGTGTGTTGGGCGCGGGGGGGGGGGGCTGGGGCAGCGTTAGCCTGAGATTTCACTCTCAGGTGTCAGAATCTAAGCGGGAAGTTACGGAAATTCGCAGATGCGTAACGCCTGATAATCCGAAGGAGAGGCAACGGTAGGGCTGGGAGAAAAAGCAGCAGAAAGCCTGGAAGAGGGGAGGCAACCGAGCGGGGGGGGGGGTCGCAATTGCCTAGGAGCTCTGCTTTGCGCCCCGAGAATGCGCAGTCGGAGGGATTCAGATAACCGAGGGAAGATGGGCTCAGAAATTATTTATCTGGGACACAGCCCTAAAGGGAGAGCTTTCCAGTTGCTTTGCAAGCACCTCCCTGGGACGTGCCTCGAAGCATGGCCCCTCTTCTTTCTTCCTGGTACATTACAGCCAGCCTGGGAAGGATTCAGGTGGCAGGTCCGCTAGATAGAAAAAGTCCAAGTAAACGCCACTGGTTTTCTTAGTGTCTTCTGGACACTGTCATGGTTCTACATGTCACCACACACTCTGATTCTGATGGTACTGGGTTTATATCTAGGAAGGCAAGCCCCGCCCGACCGGGCTGTGTCCAGAGGCCCAGCGGTGAGGAAGCCACCAGCTATACTCAGGAGACCCTCGTTCTATTTCCACTGGATCATTTGTGACTAGCCTCGAAGGAATTCCTTCAATTCTCCAGCCTGAGCTTCCTCATCCAAATAAATGAAGGTACTTCTACTTCCCAGGCCTCCTTGGATCATTGGGAGGGGTCAATCGCAATAATTCCGGTGACAGCAGACTGTTTGGGGCTATGGCTCCAAATTATTGGGGGAAATTTAGTTAAACATATTCAGCAGGAGTTTTATGAATCTTCCTCCCCTCACGCCTCCCCCCCCCCCCACACACACACTCCTCAAAGACCCAGCTGCGGTCAAAAATCTTTTGGATCGTTTCTTTCTTATGGGCTACTTCATAGATCAAACACCTAAGTGCGGCACCCCTCCATCTCCGTGGGCTCCTACCGATAGCAGCCTTTCGGTGAACACTTTCCATCCCCGACCCAACGTTCCGCACACTGATCCCGCAGCTGTGGAGCCAGGAAAGAGATCCCGTTGCTCTCTCCCGCCTTTCTCCTACTCTCATTCCCCAGCCTAGGTCTCCCGAGTTTCCTACAAGTGAATGGATTTTCCTGCTGATCTCCAAAGACCTTGCAGTATTTCAGAAAGCTGAGAGCGCGCGGAGATCAGAGAACGAGCATCACCCCTGCCTGGAGAGGTCGTGCAGTCCCGCAGGGACCCTCTCCTGCTCCCCTTTGGCTGTGTAGCTGCTGCCTCCCGAGCTAGCTCTTGGGGCTGTCAGCATCAGACCCCGCAGAGAGCCGGAGGCCCCCTCCCCACTTCCCTCTCGCAGCCCCTCTCCGCCAGTAGCAGCGCTGCTGTCTTCCCACAGGAGGACTGGGAGGACGCTGGAGTCTGCAGCGCCCCCGCCCCCTCGCTTTTTCTTTCTTTCCTTGCTTTGGGATCTTGCTGCTGGAGCCGGGAGAGGTTCTGAGAAGAAAAGAGCAAGGGACAGCTGCGGCGCGGGAACGGAGCTGGGGGCACAACATCCGCGGTGTCTCCTCTGGGTTCCAGCCAACCGGGCCCGCAACCTGAGGAAGAAAATCTCCCTGCACCTGCCACCCGCCCTCGAAGGAGTATCAGAGAGCGTTTCCGAAGCCCGCTCTAGGAGCCCCTTTGCCCGCAGCGCGGTGGGACTAGAGTAGCGAGGCAACCCGGGTGCCGGYTCCAGGCTTCCACTCTTCGGGAAGAGCACAGTGGGGATCAGTGCCTTCCCTCACTGGGCACAACTCTGGGACCAGCAGCGCGCGGCTGGACCAAGTACCGCTTCCCGCCGACTCACCCAGAGTGAAGGGACAGCCCCTGCCCTCCCGCCCGCTTCCACTTCTTGTAGTGCTACCTTCCCCAGCACCTGCGCGGATCCCCCACGCCCAGGTGGCGAGCCCCTTGGCTCCCGGGCCCTGCAGCGCCCCTGGCCCTATGAAAAGCGCGCCGGTTGCATTTCCTTGAGTGCGGGAGCCAGCTGGCGTCCTAGCCGAGCCCTGGGGTCCGCCGGCTCGTCCCCCTCTGGGGTGTCGGAGAGAACCGGGAAGTGCGCACCATGAAGTCCGTGCTGTTCAGTCGCTTTTTCATCCTCCTGCCCTGGATCCTAATTGTCATCATCATGCTCGACGTGGACACACGCAGGCCTGCGCCCCCCCTTACTCCGCGCCCCTACTTCTCTCCCTACCCAGTGGGCCGCGGGGGCGTCCGACTCCCGCTCCGCAGAGGTAGCTCCGGGCGCGGTGCGGAGAAGCGCAACGAGTCTCGGCCGCAGCCGGAGCCGCTGCTGCCCACCATCTATGCCATCACGCCCACCTACAGCCGCCCSGTGCAAAAAGCCGAGCTGACCCGCCTGGCCAACACGTTCCGCCAGGTGGCGCAGCTGCACTGGATCCTGGTGGAGGATGCGGCGGCGCGCAGCGAACTGGTGAGCCGCTTCCTGGCGCGGGCCGGACTGCCCAACACGCACCTGCATGTGCCCACGCCGCGGCGCTATAAACGGCCAGGGTTGCCGCGCGCCACGGAGCAGCGCAACGCCGGCCTAGCCTGGCTGCGGCAGAGGCATCAGCACCAGCGCGCGCAGCCAGGTGTGCTCTTCTTCGCAGACGATGACAACACCTACAGTCTGGAGCTCTTCCAGGAGGTAGCGCCGGCCTRCCCCAACTGGAGGGCAAGGGCGGGAGGGGCCTCGGGTCCAGCTGGGCTGGCGTCTCACGTCCCCTCGCGCTTTGCCTGCACTTTTAAGTTCTCAGTTCTGCGTGCGCGCATTGGGAACTCAGAGTGGAGTAGCTCCACGCAGGCAGTTTGCAGCCACCGCTGACATTGGGGCAGTGGGGTGAAGCGGGTGAAAGGACCTTGTGGCCCAGGGAGACAAAGTCTTCCCTGGAGCTTTGTTGTCCCAAGACTGGGCCACAGAAATAGCACAGGTAATTTGCAGGGAACCGGCTCTGGCCAGCTTGAGGATGGAGCTCATATCTGGAGGTAGGCTTGGTGTACTCCAAGGGTTTTCAAAGCATACAGGTGTAATTCCAAGTCAGGCCCGTATGGAGGAAAGTGGAGATAACTCGAAAATCATCCCAGAAGCAAATTTCTCTCATACAGCTCCCAGGTGCAGAAATGGTTGTTAGTGAAACACTGACTTCTATGAGGGTCCTTCCTCTATCTCTTCCTTGTACTCCACAAAAGTTTTTTTCTGCCCATGATGATGAACCCTTTCCTAGGAAGCCTCTCTGGCAAATGAGTTGAGATTGTTCTGCCCTGCAGTTATCTTTTTGCAGCCCAAGACATCATCTAGCCTGACTCATGCCCTTTTCACAACCTTTCTTCCTTTAAGGCCTCTGGCTTGGCGAGTTAACAGGCTCCCTTTGCACTAGGCCATTGCTTTCAGGTGCTTCTTGAAATTCTGAGCGCAGCTGGGTGCCCTTCCTACAAGGCGTGTATGTTCTTTGGAAAGCCGCAAGCATCTACAAGCAGCAGGCATGGGATTCAAACAGGTGTTGTTAAAGGCTGGTATTTTGCAGTGGGCTTGTGTGTAGTCTGCAAAGAGACTGAGTTGCATGACTTTATCAGTTTTCTTCTTCTCAGTACACAGTTACAGTTGGCCAAAACCTTGATGTCTTTGATATCCTGTGGRACTGTTACCATCCTCCACCTGAAATTCCTTCACATCTTGCCTAGGAAAGACTCCCCCAATACCCCTTCCTCCCCTCATGTCAATTGGACATTCCCAAAACTGTGTGAGAATAATAATGAAGTGATAAAATAATCTGTATGACTAGTAATCTAATACCTAACTGCCCCACCCCATTTTCATCCCAATCTCTATTTTGCTTTCTTAACTTCTGAACAGTTACTTTGTACTCCGATTGTTTAGTTATTATGTGGCTTTCAAATTTTTTTTTCTTAATTACTTCCTTCATTTCCATTTATCCTCACCTTCATGAATAAAAGGAGCATCTTTTCTGAACATCATTTCACTTTTTGGCTTGTTTTCCATTGTTTCTCCAGAGAAATAAGCTTGTGAATGTATTGTCTTCATTATATCCATGATTAGAAAGATGATCTGATGGTTTTAAAGTTAGGTTCTTATTTTAAGTTGGGCTGTTTATGTGCTCTTTGCTCCAAGAGTGGTCTAAGTAAAATAATGCATATCACTATTAACATTTGAGGAGCTGGATTGTCAAGGGAAAATAATTGTATTTATCCCGGTTTTTAGTCTGTTGGCATGAGGTGTTGCATGAGTGGAAAAGTTGGCACATACTAGACAGTGAAACATTTGGAACAGTCTTTCTTTAATGCTAGACAGTGAAACATTTGGAACAGTCTTTCTTTAATGCTCACCAAGCTAAAAGGGAGGCTTGTTAGTGGGGGATATTATGTAGGAGGAAAATTCAGTAGGATTTTCCATCAGCTCATGGAGAGATAAAAAGAAAAGGAAAGAGTAGGGAGAAAAAAATAGTATTGGCAAAGAGGAAATTATAAAGAGAAATTATGCAAAACTTTTAAGACTAAAATTTTGTACAATTGGAAGTAATAAGATAATAAAATAAATGTATCTTAAGAACATGCACAACTATTTATGAAGAGTTATCAACTATACATATCAAAAGGTTTGTTGTTTTTATGTATAATATGTATCAAACACTTAGAATTTAAGTTATATATCTCCTGGACATTTTTCCCAGACAGTAATTTTTATAACTTACAGTACATTCCAGCTCCCTTTCCCCTAGCTGTAAGATTAGGCCTCTGTGTAAGTTTGTGTTGAACACATAGTTTCCTTGTTACAACTTTTTACCTTGTATGCAAGTACCATTGAACTTGATCAGTGGAATGTATGTGTCCTTAGTCTTGTGCATTTTTCAGAATCTGGAGATTTTTTTTTTTTCTGTGAACTCTTAGTTTCATTAACGGAATGACCTACTATGCACCCATTCTGGAATTAATGATTCTATGTGTACTATGGTATAAACACTATTTTCTTGTAGAAAAGATAGGACCAGAAAAAAAAATTTTGATAACTGCAGCTATTTGGGAAGGGAAAGATGCTGATCAGGGATACTATAGGGCTGAGGCATATATCTCAGCCCTTTATATTGTTCATACTCACAGAGTTTAGTTTTTAAGTCATTCACGGGAAGGAAAGAATGTCCCAAGTCAGGCTTCATCTTTTATTCATAATGCTTCTCATTTCCATGGTTGATGTTAGAGTAGATAAGATAAAAGGAGGAAAATGAACCAGGTACAAATTAACTCACTAAGGATTGGCTGCAAATGAAGGAAAGTAAAGGATGAAAGGTCTCCAAATTGAATTACACACGCAACAGGCAATCTGTAGTCAATTATTCCTCTCTAGTAACTGGAATAGTTGAAATAGTGCTTTTTTCCTCCCATAAAGCTAATTTTCAGCCTCCCTTTTTAACTGAGCTCTGCTGCCAGGAAAGAAATATTTGCATTGAACAATCCTATGTTAACAACCAAATCCATTTGCAAATGAAGTCAAGTGTGAGTTGTAGCCACAAAAACTTCCACTGGAGAAGGAAGTAGTAGGGTTTTATCAGGTTTCAAGTATCTCAACTACTCTGGTCCTTCCTGTGGCATTGATAGGGTTTTGCACACTGGTAATCGGGCCTGCCTGTGCATCCTATTGATCTAGCTCCCTGGAAAAGCTTATTTGCAAAGGATTTAAGCTGCTTTAATAAAAGCCACAACAACAAGCAATTGTGACTTTAGCTGGTCATATTTTCAATAACATTATTGATCAGATTTCTGTTCTTCACTAGAAAACCTTCAAAGCTTTCCTAAGTTTAAAGTGGACGCTTTTCAGGTGAAGTTAGTTTTACCTTTGGAAATCAATTGAAAGGTTAAAAAACACTTTCCAAGCAAGGAAAAAAAAATATCTTTAATGAGATGAGACTGGAAGACAAGCTAAGTTAATGAGACTGTATCTTGAAGATGTATCTGGAAAGGAGTGAACTAAAGAGGCCTCTTGTTTATATTTCATGTTGGGTGCTGTTATGCTGTCTGTGTGCTAGGAAGATGCTGGAGTTGAGGTTTAATTCTGTCTTGCTGAAGGAAAGTAAAAGGAAAGTGTTTCTTCCCCATAGTAAGTGCTGAACTATTTCCCCCCTCTTGCATGCAATTTACTAGAGCCATAATCCAAAGAATATTAGAGTTTACAATGCTTGACATTTCCTAAAATAGTTACTGTTTCCTGAAAGAGTTGATACAGTTACTTAGTTTAGGGTAATTATCTTCTTAAAGTGAAAAATCCTGGAAGATTGTCTTAGGTTTACCCTAAAAGACTAACTTAAATGTACCCCTTATATTTTATTTCTTCTCCTCTGAAAGCATATTAACAGTCATGCCATGGGTCTGGTAGAATGTGAGAATTTTGTAAAACTGTGTATATAAAACTACACCAAATTTTCTTAGACTATAAATATTGCATCTATAGATTTTCTTTGCTCTCTCTGGATGTATATTGCTTGAATTATGGTTCATTTTTTATCGTTTTCTTTGGAGACCAGCAGTTTTCATTTGGATTTTGATATTTTAATGGGCCAGAAATAACGATTTGGGTTTAAAAGACACTCTCCATTCTGCCTCTTCCTATTGTCTTTGTTCATCATTCTTCCTTCAACCTACTTTTCACTGATTATTCTCTCATGAATAGACATGAAGACATGTCCAGATTATTATTTGCTGTGATGGATGGTGTGTCTTTTAAAGGTTTAGGCTGCTGTTGTGGCTTCTTGGAAGCTGTAGCAGTGGCTCCATTTTCTTCTGTCTACTCCACTTGCTTCTAAATTACAAACTGGTAAATTTTCTCTTGTGTGAACAGTAATAGAATAGTAATTGCTTTTAAGGCATGCTGCAAAAGCAAAATAAAAGAGCCAAAGTCAACGGTCTTATTTATTAACTATTCCAGGTGGAATTCAAGTAGTGTTTTCTTTTTCCCCCACAGAATTCAATAATGTTCAGATATGTCTATTCAGACCTTTTGGACTCTGGTGGAATATTTGTTCAGTCTATTTAGATAGCACACTATTGTGTGTTTGATTCACAATGCTATTGAAGCATGAAATGTAAGTTTTGGGTGGTTCTCAAATTCTCCCCCCAAACATAGGTAAAATTGTTATACCAGTTCATAGGTAAGTAGGTTGGTTTAGAATTGATTTCCAATTTGCAGAAATACAACCATGCCTGGTAACTCTTGCATATGATTTTAAATAAATGCCAAAAATATCCCCTACTTAGATACAAGCAAATTATAGTTAACATCAATTGAGCACTTGTATGGGGGAGAAACCACTCTTATGTTTTACATATATTAGGCTCACCACACCCACTGCATGATAGTTGCTTATCATGTTCCTTTTGAGTCTCCCACAGTAATGCTTGGGTTTGAGCACAGTTCTTTGCTGAGTACATGAGGTTTAAACCAATGCAACCTGACTGTGGAATAGTGTTTATTACTGCATAATAAATCAATATCCCCATTTTTTAAATTTTTTTGGATGTAGTTGGACACAATACCTTTATTTATTTTTATGTGGTGCTGAGGATAGATAGAACCCCAGGGCCTTTTACGTGCAAGGCAAGCATTCTACCACTGGGCCATAACCCCAGCCCCTCTATATT